TTGTCGAGTATCTTTTTGAGTAAAGCCCTTGTGTGTTCTGTTGTTCAGCCAATCAGGTCACAATACCAGCTGTTCACAGAATGATTCAAAATGACATGTCAAAACCTGAAAGGTGAAAATGGGATGCAAAGTAAACTAAATGTAGGCTCTGACACAATTTAGCTCACAGTTCGAACAGTGTTTTGAAATCTTCCCTTAATCTTTTTTTCAGCAGTGTTTTGCTTCAGTGGATAAAAATCAAGAGTTATTGGCTTATAAAAATTTGTGAGTCTTCATCGCTGACATATGGAGTGCAGTAAAAACAGACAAGCGGGAGAAAGTGGTGATTTCAGTAACATGCAGCTACGGCCCAGCCAACCAGGAATCAAAGAGAGAACTCGGCTGATTAGTCCCTGTGTTAAGTCTTGTGACTGTCGAGCTCCACAAGTTATTTTTATTATTAAGGAATTGTGTGTAGATTGTCAGGATATGGTGACAATTTTTTTTATTTTAATTTTTTTCGTAGACTTGGAAAGTCCTGCTAATTTTTCTGCACTTCCGATATCGTCAGCATGTGATGTTGAATGCATTTTGATACATATGAAGCCTCATCTACCCCCATTATTGCTAGTTACTCTTCCAGTAATCATAAATAGTAAAGCAATGCTTCGAGTGTTATGAAGGCCAGATAAAGAATCAGCTTTTATATGGATGTGTAAGCCCTGTCCAAACTTACTGCTGCTATATTTACATAGTTACAGGCAGCAGCCAGTTTATATGAGACTCAGAGAGCCAGCCTTTGTCCAGGGGTAACAAAATTTGCCTAAGAGGAAAGCTGGCTCATTAACGTGCCAGATCTGATGTATCTCATTTCCCAATACTCCTGGAAGTGGTCTCTGTTGTTTATTTTGTCATTTCTGTTGCTCAATAAAAGCATAAACTCGATCTTGGCTGTGTTTGTTTTGACAGTGCGACAGTAGTGCCGACTGGAAGGTGAACGGAGCAGGATTTCATCACAGCCACCAGCACGGCTTCGGTCTGCTCAACGCGTGGAGGCTCGTCAATGCCGCCAAGGTTCACACATACGCACGTAGAGACACAGCCACTGCTCTCAATAAAGATGTCCACTCCAGGTTAGGCTGAAGATGTCTCTGGTTTCTGTTTCAGGTGTGGGAGTCAGTGCCATTCCTCTTGTCCTATCAGAGCTCTGTAATAAAGGAGGAAACCCCCATTGTGATCTATCCCGATGAGCTCGTCCTTACCTGGGAAGGTAACCCTGCCTCAGTGTCTACTCTTCTCTCTCAGCTCTGTACTGGACATTTACTTGTCAAGTTTACGCACTGCACTCATGTAGCTAACTCCCTCTGCCCCTCCCTCTCTGCCTGCCTGCTCCTCAGACAGGCTGCTTGTCCATATTTGGTAATGTTCTCTTTGTTTGTGAGTTCCCTTGGCGAAATTTTTTTTCCAGATTTCTTTGCAGGTTTTTTTTCCATTTTCTTCAATTTTTTTCTGATATAACTACTTTAACATTTCTCACTATTCATTTTGTTCCTTCATCACTTCTTACCGCTCTGAATCTCTCACATTCAGCTATCTGTGTATGTAATCTCTCCCTTGTACAGTTTTTTCGCATATGGTGACCTCATTCTAGCAGAAACATTTCCTTCTCCCTCATCTCCTCCTCTCCTCCCTCGATCTGTATCTTCCCTCTTTTATGGGCTTGTTGATTTCAGGAATACAGCCAGATGTGTGTGCGTCTGTGTGTGTGCGCACAAAGAGCTGCTGTTAAAGAGGTGCTGTACTCCACATTTTCTCCTTTAAGCGTCGTTTCAGTCAGTATTGGTTGGGGCTCTTTTTTTCTTCACCACTGACGCTGTTCAGACCTGCCCGTCACACTACTCGGGGTTTGTTGTGGTAGTTTCTATGTGTTTTGGCTGACTCACTAACACGCCCCCTTTAGCTTTTCAAAATTTCTTCTTCCCATGTGAACATTTTCTCCACTTGTAAGCGCACGCTGCAACTTGCTCTGACCTGTTCATGGCCAGTCACATCATGTTTCATCAGCCCAGCTCAGGGTGAGTGGGTGACGTTAGTTTACAGACAACTTGAGTTTGACTTTTCTGAGGGAGAGAGGATGTGTGGGAGCTCGCAGTCTCACGTTCCTGTGAAGAATAGAGGTTTTAGGTTGCTGCGAGGTGAAGGAACGCCAGTGAGTTAGTTGTAAAAGAGAAACACGATGGTAAAAGCTCACAGCTGCTGCGTCATCACATTCTAACCCAGAGCAGTCATTTAGCAGAGTTGGTTTGTGTGGTATACTCAAATCTGTTTATCTCAGACAAAAGTTGGGATTGAAAAAAAAAGTTTCAACAATCTTACATCATTTTTATAACTCTACACTGAATTTATTTAGCTTGGCCTAAAGCTCGTGACCAGCCCAATGACAAAGATATAAAAAAACCCCATCATCTGCTTATTTAGAAAAGCATGCAGTCTTTTATCCCAGGATACATCTTCATCTTCATGTGTCTTCCCTTCTTCAGCTATGAGCACAGGTCAGCAGCGTGCTGTCTGGAGTTTATTACGCACTCACCCCCGCACCCTGTTTATTGAATGCATATCAGGTTTCCTTAAAATTTCCAGTGAAAACCACTGCCAGACCAGTGCATTCATGGAAAATCTTCCAAAATCTGAAGTTGATTTGAACTCTGAGCTGTCAGAGCTTCTAGCATTTAAAACCTTTCTCCAAGCTTCTTCTTTGTCCTTTATTTCATTTCCCCTCTACAGTTGCTTTCTTTTCCTTCTTACTTTCCTCTTCTCCATGTGTCTCCTTGTCCTTGCTGCCCCTCCCTTTTTCTCTACATCTGTCCCATGCCTCTCCATCTTACCGTCCACACCTCTGTTTACACGTCTCCTCCTCTCTCCTTGGGCCCTCTGCGTCCTTCCCTGCCCCGAGGATGTGTTCAGCCCTACATGGTCAGATAGAGCCATGGCCCATTAGCACTCAGAGCCCAGGAAATACCAAGAAATTACCAGACACTCGCACTGGGAGGGCAAGAGGTGGTCAGGAAGACTCACTGATAACAGATTCACGTTTGAGGGAAGATTGAAATTATAGAGTGTTTTTTATTGATTTGCTCTGTTTTAAAGTCTCTCCAGATTAGGACTGATTTCATTCATTAGCTAAACTCTAATTGTTTTTAAAGGAAATGTTATTTGCTTTGTCATAACAGCAGCAAAGAAGTTTTACTGAAATAAAGTTTTGTAAATAATAGGACGAGTAGAAAATTGAATTCTTATCACCGCCGTATTGTGAAGCAGCACTTAAAATGAAGCTAGTGAGCCCTGAAATAGAAACTTAAACGTGCATTCAGAATGATTTCAAGCATATTCACATACTCTTCATTGTTTACCAGGTTAGAATAAAGGGTCAAACATACAAACATTGTGAGCCGCTCTGTCTCCTCTCCATCAGTCTCTGCTGCCGACCTGAGACAGTCTGGAATGGAGACCCTGGAGCATGTGGCCGTGACCGTGACAGTCATCCATCCTTGCCGTGGCAACGTGGAGTTCGTGTTGATCTGCCCCAGCGGTATGACATCAGTCATCGGGGCTCGCCGTGCCATCGACAGGTAGTTTCTGTCTTTGAGCTTTGTAAAACAACACTTTATGGAAAATGGTAATTGTAAAACGTACTCACGTTTAAGGTTTCTAATGTATCTCAAGATTGCACTGAAAATTGTTTGTGCTGCAGTCTAATGTAGCTGTGTGTGTTTTGTGCTCATAGAGATAATGCAGGCTACCAGGACTGGACTTTCTCCACTGTGCGCTGCTGGGGAGAGAGAGCCCAGGGCCTCTACACCCTCAAGATCTCTGACCACAGTGAGTTTCTGCCCTTCTTACAGCTAGACTTGTTTGGGTTTTTAAATTTTTTTAATTTGTTTGGCTCTTCATCATGACCTCCTCACTCCACTTTTTCTGTAGAAGATGAATCTTCTGTCCAGTGTGCCGCTGTGGGAGTGCTGAAGGAGAGGAAGTTGACTCTGTATGGTTCATCTATGATGTTCAGCGAGGTCAAGGAAAGACAGAGGCAAGAACCGATACACAGTCGGCATAACACTTGCGCAGATGTTTGGAGTGAACATGTGATTTTTATGAAGATGTTCTGTGAGTTTGATGGGCTGTGCATCGATTGACAGGCTGGTGGAGGAGGCAATGACTGGGAAGTATCTGCACAGCAACTTCTCTCTGCCCTGCCCTCCAGGCCTGGACCTGCCTCCAGAAATCACCAAGCCCTTCACGTCCAACAACCTCAAGGTAAACAGCGCGGCGTTTACGGTGCACACTCAGACAAGCCGCGTCATGGTTACCATGCTGTTGCCCACTGTGTGCTTCAGTCTTTTGAGTTCTTTGCGGACTGTGTTCATTTTCTCCCTGGGGAGGTGATGTGTGTTTGTTGTTGTTTTTTAACATGTTTCTTGTACAACTTTCATGGTTTTAACCATCAATCAGGGAAGTGTTTATCATAAAGTCTCCAGTGATTAAATATATCCTCAGGCCTTCATCTTTCTTATTTAGTTAAGATGTGCGTAACTTAACTTAGCAGTAGGATGGTGGACATGTGAGAGGGTAACTAAAATCTGAGCCCCTGGACAAAAGGGTATAAAACAAATCGAGTATTGATTAATTAACCCTTCAGCTAACCTTTAGGTGTGTGTGTGCTCCTTCTCCTTTTCCATTCTTTATCAGCTCCCTTCCTTTGCACTTTACCAGCACATTCAGCCATCACTGATTGACTCTTCCTGTGGTGATTTACATTCCTTGTTTCTATAACCTGTGTCCTCCTCCTCTTCCAGTTCATGCTGTTGCTTGGCTGTTTTGCTCTCTTCTGGTCCCTCTACTACACATTGGAGGTTATGATGGCCCACGTAGACTTCAGGGTCCTTCTCTGCTTGCCCAGGAGACAGGATGGTCACAGGAGGGGGCGACAAGGGAAAGGAGTGGAGGAGGCACTGATTGGGGATGAGGAGCAGGACTCAGGGGTGGAGTTGCAGGCTGTGCTGGACTCTGATGTCAAAGAGCCGCTTGCCAGTGGGGAATGGCTGGCAACATAGCACTGAGCCAGATTAAGGGCTAAAACCATCACACTGTTAGTCCTTATAGGACCTCTCAGGCTTACACCTTCATTTTGCCACTCACCAACTTAGCCTTCCACACTCAGCTTCCAGCAGTGGTGTTGGAGGGTGAAACCAGTGCACTCTTGTCCTTCTTTGCATTCCCCTTAAGAGTGGCCTTCAGTGTGTTTGTGCTGCACGCAAAGGTGTGTGGCTTGTGCACATCCCCTTAATAAAGGTGATCACATTTTTTTTCTGCGATCTCTTTAGACATGGAAGAAAAATTTGGTACGAAGGTTAAAATTCCTGTAAAGTAAGTTAATGCACAGGTCTGGTATGACCATCAGATGGACTTAACAGGGTTCCTGGTTTAATTACATGTGTGAAAGTGTTCATTTGCTCATGTTTAAAATGTAACCTCAAAGAAGAGCTTCATAGGATACAATACACCTGTGGAAGGAAGAACTGAGATGTGCACTTAAAAAAAACAGGTGTGAAAGTGTGTGTGTGTGTGGCGTAACCTGAGCGATTGTGTTTGTGATATGCAAGGTCTTCCATGGAAAAAGTGACCTATGGTAAAATGTGAGGCTTCAAGTGGATACTGTATTTCAATAAAAAGATTGCTTTTTGAGGGAATTCCTTTATGCATTTATTTTTTTTAAGCCTGGTGTTGTTTTCTGTGGCTTATCAATCTACTACTGAGAATTTACAAATAAAAGAAAAATACAAACTTGAAATGGGATTTTTGCATTGTGGGATTTGCAAATCAATTTTTTAATAAAGTATAATATATAGACAATGTGCCTGCTGTACAGATGTACTATGCTGATGGTGTTTTTACAGTGCTTTTTTTTTAAAGACTATTAAAGAAGTATAATTTTTTTAATGTAAACAGTGTTTGGAGTGATATTGAAAACCATTACTGTGCAAGTCACAGGCAAGTTCAGTGATAATAAACAATGCTTAAGTTTTCTCTTTGACTGATTTTTGTAGTTTTAAAACCAAGTTCACACAAGCACACACCTCCAGTAAGTCACCTGTATAAATTAATCTGGCATGGTAAATGTGTTGAGTGGTTTTACACATTTTTTTAAATCGAATAAGTCATTTGAATTGAGTAACTGACTACATTTCAAGGTAATCTGAAACAATCCTGGGTATGGTTACAGAGGTTTTTAAAGTCTATTATGGTAACAGTTGCAACATTAACTTGCACTGAACACAAACAACAGCATGGATACAAAATAAAGCAAAAACAAAGAAAAATTAACCAATGGGAATGTCAAATCTCAGAACTGCCAGAAGACGACTGTTTTCCCGTAAAATAAGACTTTCCCATTTTTGAATTCTTTTGTCGACGCTTACACGCCTACAGATAAAAATGTGATAAGTGTTCCCCGTTGCCATGTATTCTTAATCTGGGTCATGTAAACATGCATGCATGCATGCATGTTGGTGCGTGGGTTGTTTAAAATATTAGTAGGAGAGATCCCACCCCATTCACCCCATTTTCCAACAAGGGAACCCTTAAAGAGCTGAAAACACAAAGTCAATTCAGAGATGTATTTCAAAGTCATTATTTAATAAGACAATGTACAAAAATATGAGCGCTGATACAGCAGGCGCAGCCATGTGGGACGTGTACTTGACACGGTAGCAGTAAAAATGAGGAGCATTGGTGCAACATGGTTGTGCTTGTAAATTTGAGAAGAACGCTTTACGGCATGTAAACGAATTCATATTTCTGTCAGAACCCATCAAAATTCAGGGAGGCAGATGCAACACGAGTTCCTTATCGAAGGAAAGACCGGATCAACTTTTGGTGTGTGAAAGGTTTTTGTTTGGTTTAACAAGACACTTTTTGGTCATTTTTCATGGCTACAATTGCAGCTTAAGACTACAAACATTCAGTTGTTACTGGTCCGAAGACAAAGCATAGTTGAACCCTGCATTGATCACCAGTGCGAGCATGTAAATAAGGGCTCTGTGACAGTTATTAAGTTTAAGGAGGACCAAAGGGTGTAAGAGATCGTAAAAAGCACCAGAGGTTTTGGTTAAAAGAGGGGCTAAAGAGGTTTGGGGTACTGATGCAAGTGCTGTTCGCTGCAGACAACAGGTTTAGCTCCTTCTCTCTGAAGTTGGAGTTAGGATGGTGGCATGGCTGGACCTGGAGATGGAGTTGGACCAAGCCAGCGGCTCTGCAGTGAGCGCCCTTTCCACTGGCGGCTCAGTGACTTTACAGGATCTGTCGAGGTCTTCCGTAGCTCATGCCCTCCTGACTGGCTCCCTTATTGGAGCCCATCTGTAAGCCAATCACATTTTTGCCAGCCTTCATCTGCTCATCGCTGAAGTCTCGCTTGTTCTCCTGTGCCTTCCTGCAATGAAACATTGAAAATTGTCACAAAAAGGTGCCAGAGTCATTGTGTTAACAGGGCTCTGTTTAATTTTAGAGGACTCACTTGAAGAACCAGTTGGGGTCTCCCTTGTATGTGCCTTCATCCTTGGTAACGGCCAAGCTTCCCAAAGCTGACAGGGTCCTCTGCACCGCTGCCAAGTCCTTACCTGTCCCAACACACCATATTAACAACAGCACCAGTCAAAATATCAAATATCAATCTCTGAAAACTAAAACCAATATGTGGAAACAACTAAAACCTGCCGTTCCTCTAATGACCACCTCCTCTAATGGCAACACTCTGAAAATAACACGTGGTGTCCACATTCATTAACAAAAAAAAACATCTATGGTTGCACCATACAATCCAAGTGCCTAAACCCTCCACTATTAAACAATCCTGAGAGCATGAAACCTGTCTGACCTTCCCAAAGGTCCACGGTCTGGAACATGTCGGTCTTCGTGACGCCGTATTTCTCGGCAGCGTTGAGAAACTGGGAGATCTGTTCCATCTGCTTGAAGGCCATGGGCGAGCTCTGAATCTTCTTCACAGGCTTCTCGCCGGCAAACAGACTGTTAATGAGCTCGCTCAAGACCTGGAGAGAAAAAAATGAAACCAAAAAGGAGAGTAGAAAAGGGAGGGCAGTTAAAGGGAAGAAGAAAGGAAGGAGAAGCACAAATAAAAGATTTTTATCTTAAAGCAATTTCTATTAGAAAACATCCGGGCAGCTTGTGCACTCACACATCCATCCTTGAGCCAAGCCTGGAAGCCCTGTTTGCCGGGCTCTGGCTTCCCCACACCAGAGCCACACTGACGGCTGATCCACTCCACCAGGATCTGCTCCAGCTCTGGGTCGTACTTGCTGTCGATCTTGTCCTGGACCTGCCGACTCAGGCCGTAGGATGGACCTTTGTTAGCCATGCCGGCACCCTGGGGCAGGCGAGAGAAGTGAAGTGAAGGATGGAAATGAACGAGAAATACATGCCGTCAAAGAAAAAGGGCTAATGTAGTTATGATCCCTTGATGTCACGTAATGATGGGGATTTCAGTCTCCCTGATCTTAGTCTTACCTGTGATCTCTTTTTATCAAATATTGTCACTTCTATCTTTGTCCTGCATATACGTTTATACCTATTCCATTCATAGTTGCTTTTAGCAGCTCACATGTTTGCACTGCAGTATCATTTAGATTGAGTCTAAAGCATATGCGGAAACATGCATAGTTGTGCAAAGAATTTAAATAAAGCCACATTTACTCGGGAACACGCATACACCTCCTCCTGACTATATGCTGTAATCATGATACACCAGTACAAACATTAACACCATGCATGTCAGAAGCGTGTATAGAAGCGTAAATGCTCAGCATTCAGTACAATTATAAACCTTCCCAGGAGCACCAGCAGTAACAGTGCTGCGTCTCCCAGTGCAAACCATTCAGCCCCATCAGGATGGACGGTGTGCAGAGGGAGCTCGCTATCAGCCAGCTGATTTTTGCATATGTTCCTCTGTAATGCCAGCACACACACACACACACACACTCTTTCTTCCTCCCTCTCTCTTTTTTTTGGCTTTTGCTTTGCACCAACGCACAAACACACATACAGCCAGCACTTGTTTTTTTCCATTTTATGCTTCTGTATTGCCTTTGGGCCAACAGCCAATGAGTGCAAATGAGTGCAAAAACTCATATCAAAGTGCTGTCTGCACCATCCAACCTTTGTTGCCATCTTGATGTCAGGTCACGTCAACTTCCCTGTTCCTGGAGAGGTTTAAAGTCGAAACATTGAAAAGGTTAAACTTCTCCTCTGGCTGGAGTAGCGACTCGTTTCTGGCACAGGGTGAGGAATGCTGTTGTTCTGTTTTTACACAATGCACAAGTTTTTCTGATTGGATTCTTTCCACTGTAGCAGAGGCCTGTAGGGGTCACTGACAGAAGATAAAGTTGGGACTTTTTTTTCTTAAAACGTTCCTTTCTTTCACATTCCTCTTATTTTCATTTGCTCATTTATTCTTTCTCACTCAATGATTTGTGAGGCATTGAAACCTGTGATGGAAACAACGTGCAAACACAATACTGGCACATTCCCACTTTGGAATATTCAACCTACTTTTAGCTCCATGTTTTTGTTTTTTCAGTTTTAATTTCACCCGTCTCCTACTCGTTGCTGGACATGCAGCTGATGAGTGAGCCAGTGTAGCTGTGTTTATGTAAATTGCAGATTATAGGCTGTACTTTATGGATTTTTACATTACATTTCAATGTAATTACTTATTTAGTTTAGTTTGGTAAAGGGATAAAAGAAATGTGGATTTTTTTGGTGTCGTGGATATGATAAATAAAACCATTGTACCATTGTACGAGTACATATCCCCCATGTCTGCGTATTAGAGGCTGAATGCCAAAGAAGTGAATGGCTCCCAGCCCAGAACGTCCAGAGCTCGTTACCTCCAGCCCAGTTTCATATTCTCTGCATACTCTGTGGTGCTTTTCCAGACCACAGGAAACCAAACACACATGCTGGGGAGCACGCTCACTTACTTACAACCACAAGTTCAGATATTATATCTCTTCCTCACACACACACACTCATACCTCTCATTATTCCGCCTGACATTTGCCATTATATAATTATTATTTCAAAGCAATGTGTCTCTGGTAGAATTTCAATCTGTCCTTTTTTTTTTCCTTTTTAAACACTGGCCCTCCTGAAACACTCTGTGGGCTTTGACCACGAATTCTTCACGCTACACTTTTTTTTTAAAATAGGAAAAGTAATAGACGGCATCTTTACCACACTGTGCACTCAGTGCCTTCTCCCACCACGAAGAGGAGAAAGTGTGCACTGCATAACAACCAAACAAAGCTTATATAATCTTTTTTTTTGGAGGTTAAGTAAATCCATTAAGGCCTAGTCTCTATTTCTGGTATTTATGTGCGTCCAGGGGCCTGATGTTGTGTTTGGGACCCGGCCCAGGTCCAATAAATATCTGCTAAACAAGCTTCTGTGCTGTCTGGCTGCTTCTGCTTAATTCTGCTGCATGGGGAGCTTTTCATTTATAGCGACTTCTAATGCTTTGTACTGTAGAAAGAAAAGGATGGAGATTTTTGTGTAAGAGCAATATGGCAGTATGAACATTTAAAAAAAAAATCACCAAAGATGGTCAAAACCACAGATTTGAAGTAAAGGCGAGCCTCAAATACCTCTTCTCAAAACTCCCAAAGAGCTCTATCCCACAGTCATGACTTCATCACCTCAGTCCATCCATCTCTCCCTCTCCTGTGTTTTCCCCCGTCTGTTTCTCTATCACCATGGCAAATGTGCCTAATGCCAGAACAGGAAACCAGTTTGAGGGCTGTGGCAACTGCGGCAGCCCGAGGGGACGTGGCATCGGACAGCCTCGCCTCCTCTACAGTTAACCAGCTAACCGCCATCTAATGATTTGTATGAATAAGCTGTGGGGTGCTTGTGGAAGCGGCGCACGCTCTATCCTTTTGTTTCTCAGCTTTTTAGAGAGTCAGGATTTGGCGTAAATCTGCTGAACTTTGGGCCGGACATTGTCAGCTGAGTCATC